CCAACTGCAGTTACAGATGTTAACAATGCTACAGTTTCTGCACCATCAACAGCTGCCACATCAACTGCTGTTAGTAATATGATAATTAAAGCCGCCGCTGATTTTATTTCGAATCAAGAACAACAACAGCATCACCATCATCAGCAGCCAACACCAATGCTAACCAATACAGCCACTATAGCACCAACTGTGACAACTGTTGATCCACTCGTAAATTTATTACTTAATCAACATGATGTAGTCACACCAACAGCTGTAGTGGCACAAGCAACAGCAGTTGCTGCTGTTAATGAAGTACAATCACAATTTCCTTTGGGAATGTAAGTTTAATGCTTTTGTAAATCGCGTATATATTTTTTTAAAATTATATATTTTCGTAGACCTCCCAGTGTGCAGCAAGAATCTCCACTAATTGTTGCCTTGGCTGCGGAAAATGCAATGCAAAAGTCTGTTGCTACTGCTGCTGTTACTACAAATGGCGCTGTTGTTACTCAACAAACTGCAACCACAACTGTTGGTGTAGTTACTGCCGCTGCACCCGGTGCTGTACCATTACCTCCACCAATACCACAAGAATTAACTACAATGTCAGACCAAGATTTAATAAGTTTTATTAATCCCAGCACATTTGATCAGAGTAAGTTCACATGTAAATTTAACAATTTTTATTATTTTACCAATTTATAAATACTAAACCTGGCAAATAATATGAAAAAATTAATATAAAGATAACATATTAATAAAGAAATCAAAAGTATATATATATCCTGGTAACTGATTTATGGGAAAAAGTTCGATTCCCCAGGCATGACATCTTGACAATGATTGTAAGGGAATTTCAATATTTCGAGTATTAATTTACTCTGTACTATATGTTCAAAATATAGTTTAATTCTCAAGATATCGGTTTTTAGTCAAAATTAAAAACACTATTTGTTGCCATGTGCTTTCTACTATTTTCAACTAGATTTCACTACTTTTTCACTACTTAATTGTAGAATTTCGACATTTTGTCTTCGAAAAATTAACACAGTTATCTGTTTTGTTTAATTTTCCGCCTGTGTAAGAATGAAACAGACGACAATCTGCCGGTTCAATGGCTTCATTTTTTTAATCTTATTCTTCACAATCACAATCAATTTTTTGAGCGCATTTCGAGTATATTCGAAGTTGAACTTTTAGATTTAGCGCTGTAAAGTTCGAATATTCGGTGTGTTAAGTTACTTAAACAGTAAATCTGCTTTGTGTTTGATTTTTTTATATAATTATGTATATATACTAAAACACAATATGGCATTTGACTCTATCTCATAAGTATAGGCAGTCCAAGTTTGAAATTCTTCAGTTTCGAATAGCTCGAATCATATTTGCGGCACTAGGAAAAAAGCTAAAATTGATGTTGCTCTTATAGTCCCATAAAATACATAACATCCTTTTCATTCTTACCAACCCTGACTTTACCAACGTTTCTATAGCTTTCTTTTTTTTGGCTAAAACCGTTTTTGTATATCGTATATCGTATTTTTTTTTCTTAAACCTATAAAATTATTAAAATAATGTCCAGATCTACAAAAAACTGCAAAATGGTGTGCTAGTATATCTTATAAATATTAACAATTATTATATTTTTTTTGCAAAAAAAAAAATAAAATAAAATTTTTTATCATAATTCCGCATGAGACGACATATTGTCTATGCTATTATGTCGTTGAGTATTATATAAGTATTTAATTTTAAAAAACTTATAACAGTATTTAAATATTTTATAATTATTTTATATATTTAAAATAATTTGTTTTTTATATTTTTTTTCCAGTTTAAAGTATTTAATGGCAGAAATTTATTATTTCAAAAATCGCGATGAAGACAGAATTAATATTCATTTGTCAGATTGTTCTATCCACACAATATTGGTGCGTATTAACTGCAAATCTAGATAATATATGAAAACCAATGACTTATGCTAATAAAGATAAAAAATTAAGTGGTTTTAAAAATCAAGAAATCAAATGTTAAGAGAGTAATAGACGTTAAAAACTGAAATGTTGAATATAAGCAATCAATTACAATCCTTAGATGAATAAAATAATTTATTTACTGTATTGAAATGATTAGTAAACCAATTTAACTAGTTCAAAGAAAACGAATTGTAAAAACAGTAAATTAAATAATTGTATATATAAGATTGGGATATAGTAACGTGACAAAAATGTATTTATATGTACAACATGGTTTTATATGGTCTAGTTCTAAATGAAGCAAAGAAATAATTATAAAAATAAAAATATCTACAATGTAGTTAATTTGAAAACTTAGGAGTTATGTTAAGTTGGTTAACTTACACAAAGTAAAGTACATTATGACTGTATACCATAGTTTGACAAATCATAATGTGGTGATGATATTATTATAAAGTATAAAAAATGACAAAATTATAGACTGCAAGAAAGTTAGGATATAGTTTTCGAAGCGGTCAGTTCTATTTCTTTACGGCGATCAAGTATTGCTGGGAAATCGTAAGAAAACCGCATCAAGTAGTTTCTTCAAAACCGTATTCAAACGTTTAGCATACAATAATAACAATCAAAAATAACATCATCAAAAAAAAAAATAATGACCCATAATGGTGACTCAAAAGCTGATCTGCTGAATTATATAGACTCCGATAGAACAAGTCAATAATATGGTTGTTGCAACCTGAAGAAATCTGTTCGTATTATTTCTGTTTGATAGTGTAAGCAACATTAATTGTCTGTGCAGACGAGCGGTTTCAGGCAGCTACTGGAATATATATATGTTATATATAAAAAGTTCATACCCTATTATTATTTTTGAAGCCTGACTATTTGTTCACGCAACTTGTTACTAAAGTATATATACAAGTGTAAACTATTATAGCATTTATATACTACTGCAATTACATATTGAAAAAGTGATTTAAATTAAATCAATTGAAGCGTTAGAAGTATGTTTCAAAATTACTTATAAAACTTTGCGGCGAATTTGGGTTCAAATCTGATATATGTCTGATCTAAGAACACGTTTTAATAAAATGTTAAAAATGTTTGGTGGTAGTATCTCAAAAACAGACCTTTAAGCACTCCTTCAATTTCCTAAAAATCTTTACTATAAAATCTATATAGTAATTTAACTATATCTAGTTTCGTTAGGGACCAACAGGTTTATGAATAGTTTATAGATTAATCTAACCTAACCTAAAATAATGAATTTTACCTACTAAACGACGAGTATTAGATGAATAGCTTACTATTTTTGATTTTGTATTGTTGAGAATACTACAAGTATCAGCTGAATGTTATTATAACTATGTAATAATAATATATGTGAAAATGATTTTTAATGAAAGAGCTGACGATATTTTTAAATATCTATTTTGCCTGATTATCAGCGCCCTTTATTGGCAATTGAAGGTTAGGTTTGGTTGGAGTGGTGGCCTTGTGCCAAAACTCAATGTAAACGCAAATAATATCCCATTGTGGTACAGGATTAGCCTTTGTACATACGCCGACGAGAGGTCAGCGTACCAACAACGCGGAAAGGCATGACTTCTTCATTAGGTTGAAAATTAACTTTGGCAATTAATAAAGACTTCAAATTTTTTTTCAAACATTTCTCATGATTTAAAAATCTTTTTTTGCTTGCACAATATTTTTAGAAATTCTTCAAAATATTATGAAATAGTTCAAGTATATTTGCTCACAAAACTTTTAGTATAAATAAAAACGCATAAAGCCATTAAAATTCATAGTTCATTTGTATGGTTAACGCCCTGAGAAAGTGCCCAAAGTAACGACCAAATCATTCTTTTACTTAACCTATCTAACTAATGCAGTGCTCAAATTGCCTGTAGATAGGACGCTCTTGCTGATTATACTGACTTTCTGCTGACTGTTCTGATTTCATGCTGACTATTCTGATTTCCTGCTTGGACAATACTATAATATATATCGGGTACTTATTAAAAATTAATCCTGAGAATAGGTCTATCGTGACTTCTTGCTGGTATACAAAACATGTCGGATGTTTATTAAAAATTTAGACATGGTAAATAAAGTGACCAAGAATTATGATTTTAGAATTTTTAAGCAAATTATCAAAGGAATAAATAATGCTAAACCACAACTATTTACTAAAGCTATTTACTAATATTTTTAATAGATTTGTTTTTAACAATTGTATGCTCATATGGAAATATTCTTTGGTCCATCTTTTTTTATAAAATATTACTGAAACTCTGTACTCTACTATAAAGATCAAAGATAGTCTTCGAAATTCGTTTATATATTAAGCATTGGGTTTTGATTATGTCAGTTATTTATAAATAATAAGCCTTTTTGAAGTTCTTTAATTAAAACCTCATAAATTGAAAAATGATAAGACCGGCGCAATTAAGGTTTGAGAAGCAACTGGTCTTTATTCTTTAAAAACAACATTTTATAAAGTAAATTAAATGATATCAGGGTTGCCAGGCAACTATTTATGATTTGTCTAGACAGAGGTTTTTTCAAACAATAGTGAACTACAACAACAAAAATTCATTTTATATTATTTTAATTAGTTGAATTTTTGGCTGACCATACAGCTGTTTCGAGTATTGCCAAATAAATAATATTTATAAATAAATTATAAATTTATAATTAAAAATTAATTACTTTTAAGATGTAACATTTAAAATTGTAATTTTATTGAATTTTTTTAAAATTGTATATATATTATTCAAATAGCTACAATATTGACTTATAAGTTTAAGAGAAGTTAATTATTTTTATTATTGTCTTTGCTTTATTTTATGTACAACAAAATTTTAGTAATCATTATCCTATATCCAAATATTAGTAAGATTGTAAAATACTGAAGAAGTTTTGCTTATGTTCACATTTTGGCACGTCAAACGTTTTATTTTAAGCCACATAATTTATATATTAAATGGTTTTCATTGTAACTCACACATAAAAAATATATATTTACAATAGTTACTTATTTTTAATTTTAATACATAATTAAAAAATATAATACTATAATGTTTAAATATACCTATTTTGTGCAAAAAATGGTCCATTCTCGTACAAATGAAAAATATTGCTTTAATTGTTTTAAAATATGTTTAGTCAAAACGATAAGTCAAATTATCTCATAAAGTAAATGTGTGACTGCCATTATACAAATTAAAATAATAATTGTTAATGTTGTGCTTAAATTATTATAATTAATCAAAACAATAATAAAATGTGTAATATGAATCTATGTTAAAACATGCATTTATGTGAAAAATTAGTTTTTAATTTTATTTCCTATTAAGTAAAAAAATAATTTTAACTTAAAATTAAAAGTTAAAATTAAAATTAAAAATTCAAAAGTGTAAAGATTATTTTAAATTAAGAAAATATATTCTGAGAAAAATGTGTAAATCAACAAAAATAATTTTTTTAAATTTATTAATACAAGAAATAATAATTAAATTTAATTAAATCAAGCCAATTAATAATAATTCACAGATTTAAAATAAATGTTATATATTTAATGTTAACATTATTAAAAAAATTTTTTAAATGCAAATCAGCTCGAAATACTGAATAAGGTTTCAAAAATTTTACAGTAAAATTAATAAAAATGCAAAGGTTGTTTTCATATTACGAAAATCAGTTATTTGTTATAAATATATTTATTGTATATTATTAAAATGAAAATTTTAATATAAATTTCAAGAGAAATTTAATAAATATATATATATATATATGTATATAATAAATATTATATTACATAAATAATAAATAAGTAATAACACAATATTTCGATGCCTTATGCTCCCTCTAGGGGAGATGAGGATAACAGAAGAACATAATCTTTTATTAATTCTATATAATATTATTTAAATTAATCAAGGATTTAATTATAACTATTAAATTGATTCTTTTAATTTATAATATAATTCAATAAAGAAAAAATTGGAACTGAAAACCTAAACTAACAAAATTAAATGTTATAACTATTAAATTGATTCTTATAATTAATAGTATATTTCAATGGAGAGAAAATTGGAAGTGAAAAACTAAACTAATAAAATTAAATTTCAAAATTTTGTTAATGTTTATTAAATAATATATTTAAAAATTATTCGTTTTGATGACCAAACATTTTTAACATAAATATTTTTTTAATGGTCATTAGGTCAACATATTAAACACATCTTTTTATTTTATTTTTTTGATTTAATTTGAAGGTTATGGAAATAAAATAAAAACGAACCGATCAATATAAAAAATTCTTGGTCTAAGAGCCTTTAAAAAATATATAAATAATTGATATTTCCAATTGTTATAAGAACATTCTTGGTATTTAAAACAAAAAAAAAATTAAATTAAAAGCAACATTTAAAAAACATTTATAAAATAGATTATAAAATAAAAAACAAACAAAATATAATATGCAAAGAATAATTAAACTGAAGTTGTGTTAATAATAAAAAGAAATCTGAATCTAAAAAATATCTATAACTAAAGAATTGTTTTCAGTTTTATAACCGTAGTTATAACTGATTTATTTTTTTTTATTCCAATTATTACTGAAATATTCAATTATTTGTAATATTTTTTTTTATTGTAATTCTTACTGAAATAATAAACTATATGTTATTCGTAGATTATTCATCTTGGATTTCAATTTTTTTATATCTTATATTTTATTTCATTCAATTGTCAAAATAAATAAATATAAATTACTATTTTTTTGTGAATTAAAAAAAAAACCGACCAGAAATATGATGATCCGACTAAAAATATAACTTTATAAATACGTAATATATAATATGATAATGGTGCTCAGTTAGTAGTCTAACCAACTTCTTAGTGAGGATTTAATAGTGAAGAATAATTATACAATTCATGATCTAACATAAAATGGCATAAGATAAAGACGAACCATATGAATGTGACGGATGAAATGTGTTTATTAAAGTTCAGAAAGATTGCAACCTTAGGAGCCAAAAAAAAT